CACTTGGGGTTGTAAAAGAGAATTGAAACAATTTGCATTAATTCAAAAAACTCTAAAAACAACTAGAATTGCTCCAAATCATATTAAAATAAGTTTCATGAAAATAGCCATCCACAATTCGCAGAGTTTTGCGATTTTGTAAGAAAAGAAAAAATCAACTTCCATTTTTTGTCACGTAACGACACTCTCTTTAAATGCTTATATTTCAGGACCAAGCAGTTCGATTGATTTCATTTTTCGGTTAAATATAGAGCTAATTATGTGCTATACAATGACCCAAAAAAGTTAAAGAAAACAAATGGTATTCCTTTATTGTATCACATTGAAATCGTACAACTGTCACGTGCGCCACCATGGGAACGCCCACATATGGTCTCCACCATGATAATATAATGAGAAAAATGTATTATCACTTACATGTATGTATGTTTCCTTGCCGCTCCAGCGTTGAAAGACCTACTAGCGTTGTATTTGTAATTTTCACCGATGTAGGGTGTCTATTTAAGTGCTTCTTTAAAAGATTAAAAATTTTTCTCGTTTCGCTTAATGAACTTAAAATTAAATGCACTTAGTCATCAAGGTTTAGAGTTAATTTCACTTTCTACTTTCTTATAACTTAATGTTTTTAACTTCTTACACTTTTAATAATTTAATAATTTAGAAATTATGGAACTTTATTTTTTTGTAGTTTTTTTTTTTATTTTTTTTTAGAAATACGATTAATCTACGTATCCACTGCAGAGTGGAAGATCGCGCTATCTCGGCAGCCAGTTCGAAAACGCTCTATCTCAAAAAAACTTTTCAAGAACGCCCTATTTCAGAATTTCATTGAAAAACAACCTATCTCAGAATGCGGTTCAAAAACGCCCTATTTCACTTCAAAATGTATTGAAAATGTGCAGATATAGGGCGCTTTTGAAACGAATTCTGAAATAGGGCGTTCTTGAAAAGTTTTTTGAGATAGAGCGTTTTCGAGCTAGCTGCCGAGATAGGTCGATCTTCCACTCAGAAATCGATATGTTTGCTTTTTTTCATTCACCCACATCTAGGATTATATTCCTTTAGTTTAAACACTTCAACGGTTTCCTAAGCGATTTTATGATTTTTAGTTTTTTTCCTCTACTCCGTAAGTAGAAACCTTTTCGATTAAAATCAATGTTACTCGTGTTGGCGTGTGGGCGTTTATATACTGGCGTTTTCCAATTCTGGATTTTTCTTTGGAAACTGAGAACAGAAGAACAGTGCTCTTGTTGCTTTTTCAGTGCATTTTCTCTAAGCTCGAGAAACTAATTTTGAGAAACTCGAAATTAGTTCGAGTTCAAGCTCGGCTTAGAACTCACTGTATCGTAAGTGACATCTTGTGTCGAAAATGGTATGCGATAAAGCTCCAACAAAAAGCTAAGTAAGTACACTGAGAGAAAAACAACAACCATTACAATGTGTTCTCATATTTCAATCGGCTAATTGCCATTTGTTTACCCACTCCACCCCCTCGAAACAAAATCACTCCGCTAGACACTCTTCGAGCGTATAGCGCCGCAATTTGGTAAGTGCTATTTACTAGTCTTCTACTGTGCTACTCATTTAAGCGATATAGACAAACAGATATACATATGCTAGGCTCTCTGTTGCTCTAGCTACAGTAATGCGGGCAGAAAGCGGTGGGGCATATGCTAACAGTAAGCAGTGTTATCAGTTTCACTTTGGTGACGTGCTGAAGCGTTGTAAATGGCAATTGCGCTTTATCACTAGACTGCTGATAGACGCCTGTTTAGTCGCAATTACGCCAATATGCCAACTCCGCAAATTCGGCAAAGCTAGTTAAGCGTTATTGATTAGATGACGTTGCGCGCTCGTACGGCAATCGAAATCGAATTTATTAAGATGTTAGCAGTGGCTAATTTTTTAGAAGTTAATAGTAATAAAATGTTTAAAGATTTACGAAAATCCAAAAAGCGTTTGCGTTGGTCGAAAGTGGAGCGTGCTAATAGAAGAAGCATTGATGAGAGGTGTTGTTGGTAGCTAACCACATCGGTTGTTTACGTTTATTTGAACTATGCACGAAAATATGTACAATGTAAATTAATAATTAAAAAATTGTATTTGCAGGGAGACGATGATTGTTTTCGTCTACGACACTGAGTGTCTGAAAGACGAAGCAGATGATCCGGTCCAGGCGGTACTTTATTTCCATCCAAGCTGGGTGTCGGACACACAGAAAGTGGCGCTTTGTGGCCAGCTGATGGGTACATCCTTTTTCCTTAAGGACTGTTTCTTCAAACCGAAAATAATGGCACTGCAAAATGGCAAATTTGTGTTGAAGGAGTTTGGGAGATTTACCCTTGTGAGTTTTCTATTAAATAGTTTAAAATTATTTTTTAAAAGCTATTACAATGGAATACTCTTTAATTAATAATTGAAATCTTTATCCCCCAGGCAGTTGGCACCGATCGTAATATCTCGGATTATTTGCTTGAAAAACGCGCCGACTTGCTCGCCTCACTTGTCAAGTTCTTTCATCGTGATTTGCAAAGCGTTTTCGATCTATTCCCACAGCAAGCACAGTACAAGAATCTCTCCGAAAAGCTATATCATATTTTTGAAACATATCTGCCGATTTTACAACGTAACGGACATATTTTTCAGAATGTCCCAAAGCTGCGTATGCCAAAGGTATGGAAAATTGTTATATTTTATTAAAATGAGTAAATAGATTGCACTTTATGCTTTCAGACGGCTAGCAATATATTTTTGGATGCCATACAAACACTGCAATGCTGTCAACAGACAAAGGGTATATTGGGCGGAGCCGTACTCTACCATAACAAGTGTGTAATTTCTTGCACTTACTTCATATACATATGTACATATGTAGCTGCAGAACTTTTAATCCATCATCTTTATTCATTTCCGACAGAGTCGTTGCCTCCCAACTTGGTGACGTCATAACCAAGCAGCTTGTACTTACCGATCCGCTACACATACGCACCACCGCCGAGCAGATACACATCACCGATTTTCACATACCAAACGGCGTTCAGATGCTAGTCGTTTATGTGGATGTCCTGCAATATAATCGCTTAGCTGCCGACGCACAACGCGCCCAAACTGTGCAAACCATCCAGCTTGGTTTGCTACCCTTTCAGTACCCGAAGCGTAAAATGAAACGCGACAAGTCGTTGATTTTTACAAATATACCAGAGGAAGGCAGTGCTACTGGCGGCACGGTGGGTTGCGAGCAAGTAGAAGAAGGTGTGTCCGCATCCACGGCTGTGGCGCAAACACCGGGAGCAGTGCGGCCGAAATCGTTGCTGATACGCCCGACACACTTGCCTTTGCGGCATCGAAACGGAATGGGCAGTTCGAAGGAGCTGCCTGAGTCAGGAATTGCTTCGATAAATTTCGATGAAACAGACTCGTATCCGGAGTTCATAGGACGCACCAGTGTGTGCTCTACACCGATGACGGAGAATAAAGTGCTGCAAGTGGGGAATATTATGTCCATATGCGCAAATACGGAGGTAAGCATCGAATAACGAAGCTTCGTATTCAAGTTTATTTTAAGTTTAGCCAATTTTTGTTTTCATTTACAGGATGAAAGCAACTCGAATAAGCAACAAAAAACACATAACACTAATCGCCGTAATTCGCTCAAATTCGATTTTGAGAAATTCTTTCAAAATTTTATTGCAAATCCGAATAAACAAATGGAGCGTCGCAACTCCTTCACCGATTTACAAGATTCACTTAAGAAGATATCCAAGAAATTATCGCTGAAACAATTTTCGAATAGCTTTAAGACTGACGTCAATCGCAATGGAAGCAGCAGCGGCATTGAGGCCATCGAATCACCTGATTTTATCGAAAATGACGACGATGTTGATGCAGAGCAAAATTCTGACAACTCTGATGAGAATAACCGCACTTCACGCACCATAACAGATCCCACCTATCCTGTTTTTAACGAGAATGGTCAACCAATATCTCGTAGTCTTTTCCAAGAATTTATCGAAAAGTACTACCGCCTGTGGGCGGAAAACGGCAGCGGCAATGGCAGTGCAAAGAAGGATGTCGAAATCGCACAACTTATTGAGGAATTCAAAGAATTTGATAACGAACTAAAACAATTAGACGAGTCGCTACGCCTTGACGGCGGCGGCAACAACACAACCATCACCACCACATCTACAAACCTAAAAACAGATAGTAATTTGAATACAGAAGCACCTGCAGTAATGACAATGCAAAAAGCTAAAACTCCTCTGGACAAGAAATCACTTAGTCTTCCCCTGAAACCACTCACCGATGCGTCATCTAATGACCAATTTGTTGCCGCGAGTCGCAAGCAACCGGGTGGTGTGCCACTCACACCGCTAATGGCTAAACTCTCTGTGTTGGCTTTGAATGAGGAACATACGAGCAGCACTTGGGATACCACTGCGGTAGAGATACAAACGCCACTAAACACGAGTAAAGTTTTTTCGCGTCGCAGCTCTTTGAAGTGCGACGACGCTGTGGATGCTTTGGCGACATTGCCTGCTAACGCGCAGAGCTCATCAAATGGTACGAAACGGCTAGAGTTATATATGTGTGGGCAGCAAAATATGACGCTGCTGCTTTTAATGGAGGAAGGTACAGCGCGCCAGCAGCCCGTTGTGCAGAAAATGGTAAGCTTAGTTGAGATTGAGGGAATACTTTTGAAAATAATATAATAAGATATCTTAAATTATGCGATGCAATTCCGGTTATTATAGATAAGATTCACTTAAAACCTAGCATTGATTATTTAATAATTTTCCGTATTTTTTCACATTTTTTAGTTCGATGTTTGCGTTGCAAAGTTCCCGCATATGGAATCACATTTAAATCAAACACTCAATGTTAATGTTGAGGGCGATAAGCGTGAAGGTGGCTACAGTTTCATGTGCATAGATGCGAAATGGGATACTTTAGAGCGCAATGGACCGTGGAATCCGTTAGAACTGAATACGCTCGAATGCATGCATCAAGATTTGCAACCGAGCGATGAAATTATGGATTTGGTTTTGAGGTAAGAAAATTAAGTTGATTGTTCTGAAACATGAGTGCTTTTGTGGGATAAAAATGTGGCCTGATAGAGAAAGGGGGCGCATTAAGTTTATAACAACAAAATTATCGGCAAATATGTCGCTAATGATAACGATGACGATGTGATAAATATTGTGTGAGGGTCTTATCGGTCGATAACTCCCCTTTCCCCTGTGACAGAACGTCCTAGTAGCGTTCGGCGTCGATCTTCCACAGGGACTCAAACGGTGGTCAACGAATTTTCTCAACCACCAGAGGGTAAATTGCAGCCCTGATCAGCAACCATTTTCACTACCTGGACGAACCGAGCCGGTTCTTCGTAGCGGAATGACTCGATTTTTATCCGACCAAGAGCTGTTGTTTCGGCGATCTAACCCCGTTTAGGTCGGCGAAATCTCTCAAAAGTTGCACGTCCATAGGGGTACACCTGCTTCGCATACTTCTGCTCAGGGCTGGCATCAAGTCAAACCATATGCCAGAAACCTACATTTACATGCTGCGTATGCCGGAGACGATTGTGTTTGACTAGGATATTCCGTAACTTGGCATCGGTCAAGTGCAACACCTGCCTTGACTGGTGGCACTCTAGGTCATATTCAGGACTGCGCGCCACGCGAGATTGTATGAGGAACTACGAGCGCCGTGTGCGTTGAATAGCGTCGGATACTACGTGCACCGTCGAGATCGCGAGCGAGATATTGGTGGCCTAACGTTCATCCCGCATCAGACCATCTACCCATAATCATCTCTATTGATAAACCTGCCAACTTTGCTTCCGCGTAACACCGAACCTATGTCAACTTTTCCAAAGCTGATTAGAACGGCTTCGCGGAAGTTACTGAAAACACCTTCTTTGCCCTCCCCACACCAACCGACGTCCCCTAGGTGAGCGTGAGTTCCTCGGGGCTGCCACTGCTGCATCCCGCTTCATCCCAGCCGGATGTATCTCGTCAGGCCGATCCCGGAAATCCCCGCATTAGCGATTTCAGCTCGGAGATTCGGGAAGTAGGAGGAGTATCTGAGGACTTGCAACTTTAGCTCTGTTGTGGGCAAGTTTTGGTCAACCGTGAGGTCATTGTCGAACCCGACGAAGCGTGACGCATAGTTGAAGTCTCTTTCGGTGACCGCGCCTCGTCGCACCCGGAGCGATGCGCGAGCTACTCAAGCCGACAATTTACGCTGCATCCTCCGGCGGACAAAACCAAACGTCGAGTGACCAGAAGGCTGCACAACGTGCCAACACAAAGTGTGCCTCTTATTTTCACCAGAGGTAAGGTACAGGTAGCCATCGGGAATACGAAAGCCTCCATAGCCATGGCTCCCGACGGTATATGCACGCTGATGTTAGAAACATTTGGTCCTGCTGGAGTTGATTACCTTACCAAGGTTCTCAACCTGTCCATAGCTACCCTAATCATTCCACATACCTGGGAAATGGGGAGGGTGGTCCCACTGCTCCAACCGGGAAAACCGGCAAACAATGGAGAGACATCGTCCGATAACTCTTCTTTCCTCGGTAGCGAAGACACCTGAGGCCTTGCTACTTCCGCACTACGCAAACCACCTGACCGCGGCAAGGCATCATCATGGATTCCGTAAAGTGCACAGCTCAACAATGGTACTTAACGACATAAACATTCAGGTAACACATGGCCTTAACCGAAACCGTCCCTGTGAGAGAATAGTTCTAGTAGCGTTGGATCTGTGAAAGGCGTTTGACACCGTCAGTCACTCCACGCTACCAGAAATTATAGAAGCCTTTTCTCTCCCACAGGGACTCAAACGGTGGTCGGCGAATTATCTAAGTGGTCGACACTCGTCAGTAATTTTTACGTGTGTCAAGTTAGCACTACACTTTTCGAATTTGGAAAAGTTAACAACGGCATTAATTGTAGCTTTTTTGTTGTAAATTTGTTGTGGAAAGAAAAAATTTGTAGCTCTCGTTTTTTAAGAAAAAATGGTATGTAGTGCTAACTTGACACCATACACCTAGTCGATAGAATTGAGATATTGAAAATGTTATAACGGCATTAATTGTAGCTTTTAACTTTAAAATTTGTTGTGGAAAAAAAAAATTTGTAGCTCTCGTTTTTTAAGAAAAAATGGTATGTAGTGCTAACTTGACACCATACACCTAGTCGATAGAAGTGAGATATACAATATGTTACTATGCCATTAATTGTAGCTTTTAACTTTAAAATTTGTTGTGAAAAGAAAAACTTTGTAGCTTTCGTTTTTCTGGAAAAAATTGAGTTGAACCTTTTTCGAAC